CCCGCCCCTATAGGTTTAGCATCATGACCGGCCAGTAATCTGAGATTACCAAAAGCCTGCTTAACAATAATACAATAATAGGGGCTGCGGAAGCCAATAATTAATAAAACATAATGTCCAATGAGTTATGCAGACTTAAATGGAATAAAACAAACCAATATATAAACATATATACATAGTCCATGTCAAGCTCAGGTACACAAAATATAAACATGACTTAGGGATTAAATCACATTAACAAAGTAAAACCAATCATAACAAAAATCTTAAGACTAAACTTTACACTTGATCACAATTTCAAAATGATGAACTCTTAACCACCCAAAAGCCTTAATGCTTGACAGTTTGGAACCCCGCAGTGAGGCACGGTATTTGGCTTGACAAAATAGAGTTTAGGTTGACGCCACTAAGTTCGCTCTTGCACTTGCTCACCTACATACATGTATAAAATAATGAGCTAGAGCCCAGTGAATAACATCAGTGTAAAGAGGTTAAATGAATGAAGTCCATAACTTATAAAATCAAAACAATGTTCTTAACATGATCAAAGTATTTTCTGGATAACTGTAATCAGAAATAAAGTTCCTCAAACCTTTAACCCTTTCATAGTGTAAGACATAGCACGGTACATTTCCAAAAGCTTTATTAAACCTTTGACAAAATTCCATATAGAACGTTTACGCCGAAATAAAGCATTTATTTAATGTTATGGTTATTATGGGTTTATTTTGAGGGCGTGACATGGTTAAATGTCTCCAACACATTGCTAAATTTGTGGACTTCAGCTTCAACAACTTGATTTCCCTGAAATAATTCTTTTGCAGCTTTCCTACCCATAGGCCTTTTAATCCTTGTAGAGATACTACCCTCATCGATTGGATTATTACCAACCGTTTGGATTGTTACCAACACTTGGATTGTTGTCATCTTTAAGAGAAAATGCAGTCATCCATAAGGGAATCGGGGGCTGAATTAGGGGGAAAACGATGTATGTATCATTAACTTCACTGTATTCGTAGGAGTTACATCTTGCCACCTGATATTGTTTTGCAAGATTAGCAAACAATGTTCAAAAGAAAAAAAAAATCTTTTCATCTTGATGGTATAAAAGTTTTACTTGAAACATTTATATCAATAAAATATTAAATTAAGTAATTAGTTAATTTTTTTATGAGACGAAATAAAAAAAAAACTAACATAATAAATGAAGATGAAATCTTACTATATCAACTTGAGATTGGGTGTAGATTTTTTGCTTGCGTTAAACACCCACGAAATTTGTTGCAACATTTCATGGTTACACCTCATTGAGATGATATAGATACTTGTGTTCTTAAGTGATCATTCTACAACGAACAATAATTTTCAAAAATTCTTCCCCAAAAATGAGCATGAGATTGCGAATTCCTAATTATTGGGCCTTCAGTAATGTGACACCAAGCTCAACAAATTGCCACATCTTCTTGAGTGATGAATGATTTTCCTCTCTTTGTTTTTGATGAACCTTCCATACTGATTAGGTGAAAAATAAAAAGAAAAATATAATTGAAGATATTTTGTTGTGAACTCAAATTGGTGAAACAAGGTGTGTGTATCTATACTACTAAAAAAACATGACCTTTTTTTTTAGCTGCTTAATATATAGTCGTTAGTGTCTTATCTGTTTGGAAAAGTAGTCATTTTTTACTTCCAGATTGAAATAGAGTCGTTGGGCTCATGTTACACATTCCAAGACATTACCCTCATCGTTGGATCTTGATATAATCCAACGGCTGAGATTAACTTCTAGAACCATCTTCCTCTTTATGTCTCTCTCTTTCTCACTCTCACTGATCGTCTTCCCCGATTGTTTTTCTTTCTCTCTCTCTCTCTCTGTTTCTCACTGATCGTTTTCCCCGATCGCCTTCCTCTTTCTTTCTCTCCCTCTCTCTCTCTCTCTCTGTTTCTCACCGATCATCTTTGTCACAACCCAAACCCGCCCCTATAGGTTTAGCATCATGACCGGCCAGTAATCTGAGATTACCAAAAGCCTGCTTAACAATAATACAATAATATTGTTGGCTCCATCCACTACCCACATGGTAAGGAGCCCACCATCCACATGGTGTGGGTGGCACCATGTGGTAAAAGAAGGTGGTGGAGGGCAACACCAACTCACTAAAGGAAGATAGTGAGGGTGGCACTACCTTGGCCAATTATGGCTAGCACTTCACCTACTCCTCCTCTCTTGGTTATAAATTGAGATGAGTGAGGAGGGGTTTGAATCATCAGAAATTGGAGAGTGAGAGCTGTGAGTTGAGTGAGTTTTATCTCCTCCTCTGTATTTGTATTTTTGCTCCATTTTAGTGATAATTCTCATTTCTGTCCGTGGATGTAGGCATTGGGCCGAACCACGTAAATATTGTGTTCTCTGTGTGTGTGAGATAATTCTCTGGGTGTGTTTGATCCTAACACATAGCAGAGGGTATAGAACCCGTAATCTGATTGCTTTCCAAATTCAAAATTTTCAAATTGGAAAGTTTACCAATCTCATCTGGAATGCTTCCTTGCAGATAATTCTGGCCTAAATAGAGTGCCTCCAGGTTTGAAATGTTGCACAGTGAAGATCCAATTGTGCCTGTGAAACTGTTGTTGTATAGAAGCAAGCATTGGAGCTCTGGTAAATTACCAAACCATGAATATGAATTCAAATCTCCAGTAAAGTTGTTGTGCTCAAAATTGACTTGTTTGAGTCGATGCAAACGAGACAAGTCCTCGGAGATTTGGCCGTGGAAATCGTTGAAACTGATGTCGAGTAAAGATACAAATGAGAGGTTTCCGCGGTGGGGAGAGAGCGAGCCTGTGAGAGCCATGTTGGAGAGATTCAGGGATGTGACCCTTTGGTGGAGGACACAACAGGTGATCCCAACCCAGTTGCAAACTGAGGTAGAGGTGGACCAATTGTCAGCCAAGACGTTGTATGGGTATAAAGTAATGTAGGATTTGAAGGAGAGAAGAGCAGATTGGTCTGTGGTTAAGTTGGTTATAGCTGAGGAATAAATTGAATGATTCAGTACCAACAGTACTACAGCAGCAATGAGGAAGCTAGTTTTCTCCATGATTCTTTGTAAACTATAAAATAGACTCTGTGTATATGTATATACTAGTCATCAATGCGTGTGTATTTGAAAAAAATAATTACCTTCTTTATCAAATTCATGATTTTAGTTACGAGTCCTATATTGTTTTTAATATAATTTTTACATAAACACTAATTATAGAAGTATTTTGGAAAAATTGAAAATATAAGCCATCAACACCATCAAAGTCTTCACATATAGAAAGGGATATTTTTGAAAAAAAAAATCAAAATATGAGACGCAAACACCATCAAACGTCTTCACATATATAATAATAATATATAATATAGAAAATAGGTATGTGAGAGAGAAATAAAATAATATACAAATAAAGTATTTGAATGTCTAATTATGATTTCATCATTTTAAAATAAAAGAATCATCATTTGGATTTATAATTCCAAAAACGTGACTGTTAAATTATTTTAGATGAAAATTCTATATGAGTAGTAACAATTTTGATATTAAAAAATATGATAGATGATTTTTATTTTTTAATTTTTTTTTAAAGTGATAAATTTATAATTCTATCACATCATTATATATATACAACTTCATTTTTTGTCCCCTAATATCCTCTGGTTAGTTGTAAAGCCAACGTTATCCAAGAACATTGTGATTAAGAAAGGATATGGAATTCACAATTTGATGGCAAGTAATAAAAAAACAATAAAACACATATATTTGACGATTAGTATGAACATTATTATTACGTGATATTTCAACACCACCTAATAATTTTTTTGTAATTATAAGTCAAGATATCATATAGGTGCAACTACTCTTTATTAAAAAGTTGATAAAAAATTAGTTTTTTAACTTTTTTGGCCAAAAAATTAACTTTTTTAGTGATTTTTTTGCGACTTTTTTTTAGAGAACTTAGTAAAAAGTCAAAAAAACTGACTTTTTACCATGTTTTCAAATTGCTTCATACTGATAGAGGGTTGGTTATGTGTCTTATCATGAATATCATTTTAATGATTTAAATAATTTATTTTATAGAAATTTAGTTAATTTTTTTTATTAGACTCTTATTTGATAAAAATAATAACTTAATATATTTTATTTTATAAATTTTCTAAGGAGGAGGCACATAATTAAATAAACACAGAGTAAATTTTTTTTCTTAGACAATATTGTCAATGGATATATATATATATATATATCTTATAAAATTCTTTTGACGGGAACACTTTTATTTTATTTTATATAAGTTTAAAAATATTGTGTATGTGTACTTTTGGTTGGTTCATCTAGTATGTACTCTGTTTTTTGTAACAACAAAATATTACTGTGAGATAAAATAACATGTTACTATCAAACAAGGTAACATGTTACTGTTTATGTCAATTTCTACAATATTTTTTTATTTATTTTTATTTTTTAAGAAGTTCAAGTTAGCATGAATTTTGTTTGATAGATCTTGATGAGAGGATTCTAAAAATACTAATTTTACTAAAAACTAACATCTAGATCAAAAGTTATATTATTTTAAAGTTTAAATTACCCATTAAATATATTTTGGCAATAGTGGAATGCGTTGGACTTTTCAAAGAAAACTTTTTGTACTTGTTCTTAATGCATTAAAGTTTTATTGTGAGGGCGTTTTGACCAAATCCCCTTTATTTTAAAGATCTCAATATATATTATTTATGAAAAAAATTAAGTCGATTTGATAATTGTAATGTTTTTATTTTATTGTGTTTGTCTAAAAAAACAAATGGTATATTTAAAGAATATACTTATGATTTATTTTTTTAAAGACAATCGTGATGAAATGAAAAAGTTACGATTATCGAATCGATTTATTTATTTATTTTTATTTTTATAAGTGATATACAAAGAAAACTGTACAAAATGAATAGTTCAAATTATCGAAACGAGACTCGTGAACCTCACAGCCCCTCATTCTTAAATTCTCTTAAATTTAAATAATTCAACCCATACAAATAAGATTCGTTTTGGATATAATTATACCATTGTAATTTTAAATTTATATTCATCATTTTTGAAGTAACATTCTATTTAAATTTTCATCACAAGTAAAATTATGGCTCGTTTGTGGTGTGAATTGACTTTTTTTGCTTTTTGCATTTTTTTAGCTTGGGGCTAAAAGCTTTGTTTAAGATAGACTTTTTGATTTTTTTTTTTAATTTTTGTGAGAAAAAAAAATAAAATAAAATGATTATGATTTGAATGTAATATTTTGTCTTATTAGACTAAAAAATTTATTTTTATCTTTTTGTAATTATTTTAGTAAAAAAAAATCTCATTTAACTTATGCCAAACGAGAGCTGATAAACCTTGGGAAGAAACAAAACGTACACTTCGTGTAGAAAGAAATCCACCCTTATATCAACTAGGGATATCAGGAAACACACAAAATTATTTATTACAAAAAAAAAAAAAGTGTGATCCATGAGACTCACGTTTGAAATTAGTTTGCACCACAAATAAATTTTCTTGAATTTTTTTCATGTATTTGAATTCTTATTGGCAGCATTATTGTGTAAACAAATCTTGCTTTCCAATTCAAAAGAGTATAAAAAAATAAACTACAAATTAAACAGGCGATCCTTATATTTTATTTATTGTATCATTTTGATTTCTATACTTTTAATTGGTTTAATTTTAATCTTTAATTTTAGATTTTGTATCAATTTGATCAAATTAATAATATCGTTAGTGTTTTTTGGAGAAAATTATCACTAAATTGGTTGATATTAACTTACTGAGTTGAATAAATTTATAATTTTACTCTTAAAAATATAACACATGACACTTATATGCGTATTTTTCATAAAAAATGTTAAGAGTTGTAATTAATTGGACCAAATTAACATAAAATCACAAATTCATGGTTAAAATCGAGCCAATTGAAATTACAGGAATTAAAATGATACAATGATTAAAGTACAGAGACTACCATTATAATTTGTCTAAAAATAAATAATAAAAAAAATCAAAGACAAGAAAAGAACATTTTATTTGTTTATCCCTTCCTCGTCTTCTCTAGTTGGAGTGGTTAGAATAAAATATCCTCAATTAGGGCTGCAAACGAGTTAAGCCAAGCCGAGCCGAGTTTTAATATGTTTGGATTTATTTATTAAGATTTTAACGAGTTTGAGTTTGAATTCGAGCTCAATAGAAATTTGACGAACTGAGCTCAAGCCGAGTTGGCTTAAGCTCGAGCTCGAGTTTGAGCCTGTTCACGAGACTTAACGAGAAACAATACATATAAACATACTAAGAAAAAGTTAATATTTTACCAAAATAATAATATCTAAAGATATTTACCCAAAAGTCCTGTCAATATGTTTGGTTGTAGCTTAGGTCATATCAAAAACTTTTTGAACCAATAAGTCCCATTTGTAGGTAAAAAGACGTGTTTGCCCTTTAACATAAACAATTGTGTATAAAATAGCATTCACGTTAAGAAACAACTTTCGGCCAGTTACATAAGATGCATACCCAGCTGCCAGCACAACCCCCCAACAAAATATTATACAATGCTTTTAGATCCCGAATTTGTAGAGAAAAGAAAATAAGTAAGATAATTTCAACTTGATTTATTTTTCTTTTCCTTAACCTCCACAAATCTAAGAATCAAATACAACCTACTAATAAGAACATAACTTGGACATTCGAAGACATGTATACAAATTTGCAGCCTAAACCACCTCAACAAGAACAACCAACCATACAACAAGCAATATTCGAGGAAAAGAAGAGTGTTGACAGAGTATACATATAACATGTCAATAGTCACTCACTGGACTGATCAGATTCACCAGAATCCTCTTCAGATGTCACCTCTGAAGCTTCTTCATCGAGATCATTGATCTTCATGGCTCTATTGGCAGTCATCTTGGTAAGAGCAGCAGTCTTGCTTGCTCTCTGTGAGCGGGTGCTCATTATGCCAGGATTGGTAGGAGCAACAGAAGCATGTGAATTCTCATCATCAGAGGAAGATTCTTCATGCCTCACTCTTCTCCTAGAACGGGGTGGTCTGGTTGAACGTGGTGCTGGTGTTGGTGCCACTTCCGTGGAGTTATCCAGGTCAAGGTTAAGGTCTAGCTCCAACCTCCCTACAATACACATGAAGGGTGAAAAAACATACATACAGAGAAGACACAAAAAATGAGCAAAGATAATAGAAAACTAGATAGTGAGAACGAAACAACGAAAATAAAATAAATAAGCAGAAGATGGTAAGCATGTCATTTTGACCCAGGAAATAAAAGAAAAGCATTGGATAGTTTGCTGCCCTGTGATAATTCAAAATACATTCACCTACATCAAACCTAGACAAGCCCGTGTATATCCAGAAATCATAGTGAAGAACCATTTCTAGAGAGCGATTTATATTTATTTATTTTTTTGGACAGGGAAAGACCACAGTAGAGAGAAGATATTAGAAAGTTTAATAGATTCAAACATTTCCTATTTGATGATCAGGAAATCCTTGAACCAAGTCAGTTGAGGGTAGCTTGTGTTTTATCCAGTGTATTACTGATTGGTTCAAACCCTCAAATTAAAGCATGGAAAAAAAGGTCAAATTCAAAACCATGAATGTTAGACCTTAGCTTCCTATGAACAAGATAAAAAAAGTAGAACAGACATAGCCTGAACCTGAACCACTTCAGATTTTCCAGCAACTCGTTGATTGGCCGCGTGCTAAGCTAAGCACTGAAAACATGCAAAAAGAACAAAAGGAAATCTTGCAGCTTAAGAACAATAGTCAGTGAACAATCTAGGATAACCCATTCTAAGTTCTTTATACTTCCTCCACGTGTGCACAGAAAAAGGGAAAAAAAATTCCCTGATTCTATTATCTTCTCTTCTTATTTGATGCCATGAACCAAACAAAAACGGGGGAAAATATCATTTTCAACGAGATACAAAAGTTCCACTGTTTCTAACTTTATATAATTAATAAATGATTGAAGCCACTTGCTAAATCTATGTCAAGAAAAAAAAAATCCATTTTTCTTGTGGAGTAAGGAAATGACATTACCTAAGATAGTATTTGCTTCATCCAGTGATAAATCCTGATCTGGATGTTTATCTGCTGCCTTAAGACGATCAGCCATCCGCTTCAACTCCTTTACAAGCTCTTTCTCTGTTGATACAGATTCAGCCACACGATTCAAAAGCCTCCTCATTAACTTTATTGCCCCTTGTTCTGGTAACCGGAAATGAAGTAAGACAAGTATTCTACATAGCGCTATGATATATGATTTCTCAGCCGCTTTCTTCTTTACATGGAAGTTTGCAACCTTAAAGACAAAAAGTATAAGAATTAGCAAATATGCAAGTCAACACGCATGCAACATTCTATCAAACATAAGGAATAGCTACACCATCTTGTCTGACATAGTATAGGTCCAAGGGAAACCAGGAAGCTATTTGGTACCCGAGTAAGTTCAACTCACATAAGAATATATCCAAAAAAAAGGCCTAAAAAATTTGAAATTCTTCTTATATTTTCCTGAATTTCCTTCGAACTACCAAGTATTTTTAGCATTACATGACTTTTCATAGTCTCTCTCCATCAATTATGAAATACTATGCAGTAGATATCCAGTTAGCTAAAACCTTATATTTGGGAAAAACTAGTTAAAAAAAACACCCATTTCTGTGAGCAGGAATATTAAAACAAACCAAAACCTAGCCTCGTGTAAACAAGACTGTCAAATGCATAACCAAAATAGTAAAGAATACTCCCAACATAGCACAATGAATACTCTTGACCAGGTATTAACAAAATAGCAAGTGAACTTCACCGTGGTAACATTTACCTCCGTAGCTATGCGTACAGCAAGACCTTCCTCACCATTCTCGAAGTCATTGGAAGGTTGAACTGAACCATCAAGGTTTTCTGGCAAGCCTTCAATACCATTTTCATCCACTGTTTTGGTCTCTATTGTATATAAAGGAGCCTGCATCATCTGCAGCATAAAACGTGATGCTTGGACAGCATGTTTGCGCATGTTGGAAACCATTAATGGAGACCCTCCAGCATTCCCGGTGATGCCGGGCCATATTGAACGCATGACTGAAATGAAAGCCTTAGATACACATCTCTGCATTAACACAAGAAGACGAATGTATTTAACATGGTAGAAAATCCAAAGGTATGTATGATTATCTGTATGCATACTTTACATTTTGAAAGAACATATATAACTTACCTTGTGAGTATTTGAAAGTGATGGATAATGCTCAAAGAACACAGACAGGCACTGTCTCAACCTGATAAAGTAAAAGAGATATAATTAATTGGCTTTTCATAGAAAGAAACTCAGAATCAGATAATGGCACAAAGCATCCACCTCTGCAGTTCTTTAGTTTCATCACTAAAATAAAGACCAATGAGCTTGGCTAATAGTAAAGGATGTAAAGAAGAAGGAATGCTTGGATAGTTCTCACTTAGGAGAAGAATCTTTGCAAACCCCTCCCCAATAACAGCTTGAACTGACTCATGCTCATCTGCATCTGCTGATTTGACCCAATCATCTCTCTCTAATCCAGCAAATAATAGGTCAAGCAATCCAAAATTCAAATCCCCATTTGTATCAGACATTTGAACAGTACAAGAAACAATATCATGATCCTTGAGTCGCGATGAGAGATCCTGCCCCATGGCTTTATCTACTTCCTGAGGACCATGCCACATTGCAAGATCCAACAATGCCTTACAAGCCATTATACTGATTGGAGAGGGTCCCTTAACAAAAGAAAGCCTCAACTGTTTTATTAGTTCCTCACTTGGCTTTCTCTCTAACAACCCAAAAAGACCAAGACACCTGGTAGCAACCCGCTGAACATCCAAGTGAACATGTTTTGCCTGCATTTTATATGTCATACCAATAGTTAACACTTCCAAAAGAAAAGAATGATTTGAGAATGAAGCATTTATACAAAAACCACAAGTTTCTATGTTTTGAATAAAGTGACATTGAATTGAAAGTGAAAATATTCTTAGTTTCAAATTTTAATTTTGAAATTGTTTGTGATAATATTTTTTGGTTGACTTTGTGTTTGTTTTTAATGTGAATTATTTGTTTGGTTGACTTTTGTAAATAAACTTGATTGTTGAATGTTTGTTTTTGAAGATTATGTGAATATTGTATAAAAAGTAAGCATATTCTCAGTTTAAGTATGTAGTTCAAAATAGCTGATTTTGTGATAATAGTGTAAGGCTCTTGTTATGAATTGGAACTAGTTATAAATGTGATCAGTTGAATAAATGTGAATTAATATTCTAAATAGATATGATCAATGCTTTATGTTTTGAACAAAGTAACAGTGGACTGAAAGTGAAAATATTCTTTGTTTGGAATTTTAGTTTTTCAAATTGTGATAATATTGTGAGACAGCAAATAAATTGTTGTCATAATATTGTTGTTTTGAAAATTGAGTGAACACTTTATAAAACTGAAAATATTCTCAGTTTTAAGTTTTTAATTTCAAAATAAGTGATTGTGATAATATTGTGAGGCAACAAAATATTGCATAAAAACTGAAAATATAAACAAAAACATCAACAAAGCACTAATTTTGATACAGTAAAGTCTTGTGTCCACTATTTTTACTTGTAACACTATTTTCACTTTTCCAATATAGTAGTGTGAGGAACAGAATAATAGAAACTGAATATATGGACAAAAACATCAAGAAAGCCCTGGTGCATATATCTTTGAGAGTATGAAAAACTATTTTATTACACATCATAGAAATTGTAACATGTTTGTGAGGCGATATGCTTGCAACTATCAACAGAAACATTAGTCATTGTATTAGAGTGTGACAAAAAAGAGTTCATTGAGTCACACATCAAAAAAGATTTCATTGAATGTTGCAATCTTGACTCTACTTGACTCTGATTGATCTTTGTGGATCACTGAGGAACTCATGTACTATGTTTGCTCTCAGTCTTGTGGATGTGCCCGGTAGTAATATGTTTGGAATTGGTTGATGCCTTATGTATTGTCTTATGATGTAGCAAACAATAATTCCATAATCAGCCCTACAGAAATCATTTTTCACACAGTTAGGGAAAAAACAAAAATTTTTGAAAAAGATATTAAAATTTGTTAGAATAAATATAACATATGTCATTGTTTCTTGTTAAGGGCTGTCTTTGACTGATTCAATCTTCACATCACAATTCCATGCTTTTTCTGCTTGACAAGGTGTATCCTTTATGTATTCATTGATGATTTTTTGCTGTAAAAAAAAAAAAATCAATATAAAGTATGTAATGATTTACATCTGATTATTGTAATGGTAATCTGAAATTGTTCTTACCAGTTGATATGCAACGTTGTAGCTTGTCCTTTCCTTTCCTTGGTCTCAAAGAGTTGAAATGTTTCCAAGTCCCTGAGGGTTTGTCGATAACAAGTAATGTCCAATGATTGGAATTGTGGATGGGGATATGGATGTATCTACATGTGAGGGATTCTTGCAAAGTGTTTTTCAAAATCTTTTTCCTTTTTTTTGATGTTTTCTTCTTCAACATTGGCTATAAAAAAATATGAGAATATTCATAATAACGGTACAAAACTCAATATTCAAATCTCGATCAAAAGCAACAAAGCATGATTAACTACGATTTGTCACTCAAATTGTTTTAAAATCTGGGTATATTCCCAGCAATGATACCCAAATTAAAATTTGAGAACATTCACAGCAATGATAGCAGACACAAAAATCAACTTTGAAAATCGAAAAGAAGATAATGTATAGAATTGACAAATGCACATTTATTCCTGACCCAATATAGACTTGACAGTACGAAAGATTTACCATTGTGCTCTACTCCATCACCAGAATTCTGTGTTTGTGATTCTCTTTCAAGAATCTCAGCATATGCATCAATTGTTTGTCAAATTAGAACACAAAAGTGATGTTAATGAATTAATGAGAAGTTTTTCAGTGTTAAAATATTACAAATTTTATACGTACACAGCTGGATATGTCAGTTCCTTTTACCAAGTTCTTGATACCATTAATAAACACACAATTGTCATATCTTGCGCCAAACCATATACAAGCACTACAAAACAATAAAAATGTGTCAATAATAAAGTCAAAATATTTTCAAAAACAGAGTTATTTTTCAGTTTCGACAAATCGTAATTTATACCTTGATTCTGTCTTCTTTTCTTTCCAAAGAATTTGTAGTTTATATTTATCTTCAGGAGGTAGCAATTGAGCCACATCATACTTGTTAGAAATTGTCTCTTCTTTGTGTTCCTTCTCTTTCTCGAATTTAACTTTCTTGCCTCCATACTCATAATCTGATATCTCAGTAGTCTTCCTTGCTTTAGTTTTGATCTTTTTAATCATGGAATTCTGCAGATTTGTTTGTCCTAATTCTGTCAGATCATCGGCTTTTATTGCACAAACTTGTTGGGTTAAGTCATGGACCTCTTCCTCCATTAACTGATTCTGCAACTGAGAATTTTGATAATATTTCGTATTTGTATTTGTCTCACAATCTTTTGTTGCAAAAGATTGATGTGTTATCTCATGGACCTCTTTCTGATGGAACTCTTTGTCCACCACTTTAGAATTTTCATGGACCTCTTTCTGCAGCACTTGAGAATTTTCATCTCTTATTGTATGACCTTCATTCTTTGTATTTGTTCCAGAATGCTTTCCTCCACAAACTTCTTGGGTGATCTCATGGACTTCTTTTCAACCAATTGGTTATGCAATCGAGAATTTTTATCTTTCAATTGTTGTATTTGTGCTGTGAGTAGCTTGTTATTCTCTTCAAGTTTATTTATGTAGATGGTCTTCACTGTGTTGTCAAGTTGCAAATTATTGTTCTCAGTTTGAAGTTTCTCAAGTGTTTGTTGATAAATGTGTTCTTCTCCCTCAAGTGTATCATTGATCATAATGCTGTAGAAGCCATCAAAGTCTTCATTTGCTGGCTTTTGTTCTTGGTGGCATTCTTCAGCATCTTGACTAGCTTCTTCTTCTTCTTCTTCTTCTTCTTCTTCAGTATCTTCATGATCTTCTTTTTCTTTTTCTTGTTCTTGTACTTCTTGTTCTTCTTCTTTAGCATCTTCTTCTTCAGTATTTTTTTGTTCTTCGTCTTCAGTATTTTCAGCATATTTTTTTTCTGCTTCAGCATCTTTTTCTTCTTGTTCTTGTTCTTGTTCTTGTTCTTGTTCTTCTTCGTTTTCAGTGTCATCATGTTCTTCATCACTTTCCACACTCAATCGAGCACTACTTACCTGTAGGTCAACATACAGTATTCTTCTTCGTTTTCATTGTCATCATGTTCTCCATCACTTTCTGCACTCAATCAAGCACTACTTACTGTAGGTCAACATACAGTAGATATTAGTTTTTTAAATAATTAAAGTTTAGGAAACTAAAAAGTTTCTCAGTAATAATTCAGTGTATAAAAATAAGGATTTTTCCCAACATGAATTGAAATTCAAGTGAGATGAGAATGTGACCTATCTTATTTTCTGCTCATGTAATGATATGAATTTCATACGTTTATGTAATTTGATAAGATTCCACTTGATCACCCTTGGGCATGCTTCGTTAACTTCAGGGTGGATGATCAGTGTGTACTCACACAACCAATACTACAAAGCAAATGTAAAGAATTTTTGTCATTTGAATAAGAAATAATACTCTCTGTTATTAACAACAAACTAATAGAATAGACTAAAGATGTACTATAGACGTCTCTGAACGTCCCGAGAAAATTCTATTTTGTTCATTGGGCTCACTACAGTTCGGACTCGATGCCACGGTTTTGAATCTAATCTCGCAAAGTGCAATGCAAGATCGATAAATCACCAAAGAGCCCAAATCTGGAAAATCGTTTTGAAAATCTGATTTTAGAAAGAAGTGCCAAACATGGACTGCTTTGCCAGATACAGAGTCGCCACCTAAATATTTTATTTTGGGGGAATTTAGGAAATCCTGACTCGTGCCTAAGGCCACATGTCCATCATCACCAAAGTTGCCTCGGCTCGGGAACTTGGGTACGATTGGGGAAGGTCATGCAATGAGCACCCCCACTAGCCCGATCAAAGATCGGCCATTACTAAACATGATATCTTGTTTTTGAAAACACATGTGCTCTTATTCTGGTTATTAACCTAGAATTACTATGTGATGTGCACATCATACAAGTATAGACTAGATTGCCTAAGTTGGAACAAAGCATTGCATATCCGTTTGTTTTGAAAATGGATTGAAGTTTGCTACTCGCAAGTAGGCTAAAACACGGGTTTCGACGAATTATTCTAATTCAAGCAACCCAACCTTCATCCACAGGCATTCAGGCAGTTATATCATATAAGCACATAGCCTTATGGTAAGCATGCTATCATGGCAGTCACTTACACGCATGCAAGGATGCTAAAGCATAAACACTTACGGAGTTCTCCGAGCCAAAAAAAGAAGCTAATTAGAAAACATGCATGAATCCTAACTATGCCGAGATGCCTAATGCAACACATGTAAGAATGCAACTAAGATAGGCTTGGCTATTCTAAGATGGCATATGAGATGCTACAGGTAACATGTATTTAACTTGGAATTGAAATACAATGTAGTTAGTATGATGCGCCGAGCCTGGTGCATGCAAAATAGATGAATGGATGCAAACATACGAGCATAAGGATGCTAATTGAAACGTGCCCTAAAACTAACCATCATAAGCTGGTAAATGAAAGGGAGAAAGACGTGGGGTTGGAAGACATACATCACACACACGCACACTTATTACAACATTGTCCTCTCTTAGAGGGTCCGAATGAATAATACACAACCAACTGGCTAATCTAAGCTATCAAACTAATTATTACACAACCCAGATGAATAATGAATTACAGCTAATTATT